GAATTGACGATAATGACCAAATCTGTGTGGTTGGCTAAGTACTGACACCTGTGTAGTTGGCTAAGTACTGACTTTTGTGGTTGGCAAACATTGATTCAGCAGTTGGCTAAGTACTGACCTGTGCGGTTGGCTAAGTACTGACCTGTGCGGTTGGCTAAGTACTGACCTGTGTGGTTGGCTAAATATTGACCTGTGTGGTTGGCTAAGTACTGACCTGTGTCGTTGGCTAAATACTGACCTGTATAGCTGGCTAAGTACTGACCTGTTTGGCTGGCTAAGTACTGACCTGTGTGGTTGGCTAAGTAATGACCTGTGCGGTTGGCTAAGTACTGACCTGTGCGGTTGGTTAAATATTGACCTGTGTGGTTGGCTAAATACTGACCTGTGTGGTTGGCTAAATACTGACCTGTGTGGCTGGCTAAGTACTGAACTGTGTGATTGGCTAAGTACTGACCTGTGTGGCTGGCTAAGTACTGACCTGTGTGGTTGGCTAAGTAATGACCTGTGCGGTTGGCTAAGTACTGACCTGTGTGGTTGGCTAAATACTGACCTGTGCAGTTGGCTAAGTACTGACCTGTGTGGCTGGCTAAGTACTGACCTGTGTGGTTGGCTAAGTAATGACCTGTGCGGTTGGCTAAGTACTTACCTGTGTGGTTGGCTAAGTAATGACCTGTGCGGTTGGCTAAGTACTTACCTGTGTGGTTGGCTAAGTACTGACCTGTGTGGTTGGCTAAGTACTGACCTGTGTGGTTGGCTAAGTACTGACCTGTGTCGTTGGCTAAATACTGACCTGTGTAGCTGGCTAAGTACTGACCTGTTTGGCTGGCTAAGTACTGACCTGTGTGGTTGGCTAAGTACTGACCTGTGTGGTTGGCTAAATACTGATCTGTGTGGTTGGACTCGTACTGACCTGTGCGGTGGGCTAAGTACTGACCTATGTGGTTGGCTAAGTAATGACCTGTGCGGTTGGCTAAGTACTGACCTGTATGGTTGGCTAAGTACTGACCTGTATGGTTGGCTAAGTACTGGCCTGTGCAGTTGGCTAAGTACTGATCTGTGTGGTTGGCTAAGTACTGACCTGTGTGGTTGGACTAGTACCAACCTGTGCGGTGGGCTAAGTACTGACCTGTGTGGCTGGCTAAGTACTGACCTGTGTGATTGGCTAAGTACTGACCTATGCAGTTGGCTCAGTACCGACCTGTGCGGT